TGGGAAACAAACTGTACCAGCTTATTAGTATGTTGACACTTAATGGAAATAAATGTCACACACTTCTTTGGTATGAATATATTTTCAAGCATCTATAGTTATTAAAGGATTGGAGTGAATCACCTTTCTTCAATTTGAAACGAGGCATCTTCGGCATCTACAGATTTCCAGTCTCTGGGGGAGGGATTAAATATAATATATGATTAGTTTTATGATTAGAGCATATTTGTAGGTTAATTGAGAATGGAGTGTTTGGCCACTTCCTGAGCGTATAAGATATTCTCTATGGGTTGGTGACGCGAGTCTTCCGAGGATTTGTTCGTTTTCCTCCTCTTCGTAGATATCATTTTTCTTTTTTAGGACAAACATAGATGATCTGAGTGTGTTACCATTGGTTTTTGGACATGATAACATGATGCAACTGAATCACCATTGTTAAAAAAGTGTGTAGCACATTGAGTTCACAAATATTTCTCATTGAGAAATACATAAACGTAAAAAGGAGCCCTGGGCGTCAACTGATGTCAAGCTTCCCCTCCTACCGGGAGCTCCTAGGGTTCGAGTCCCGACGGCGGCAGGACTTTCGACGCTAGCAAGGTGTCTAGGTTATATTGAGTCGCTGTCTGAAGGAGAATTCTACCGGCCGGGTGCTCTTATCGATAGTTTTCCGTGGTTTCGCCGATCAACACCACGCGAATGCCGGAGCAGTTCCCTAACAAAAGGGTCACGGACCGCGCGTGATCTTACCTTCCTCTTCCTTGTCCTGTCCTCACCCCTTACTTACGCATTTACATTTACATGCACTACACTATCACACATGTTGAGAAACCTGAAGAGAGCGTAGAGCTTGTCCGGAATAGGGTGGGGCTAAGCTGGTGGGAGATACTTGGTTGGGGAAAGCCCCGTTAGCCGACGGTAGGTCGGCGCTGAATCTAACCATCCAGAAGGGAAGGAATCACCGCCACCTCCTCCTGTAAAAAAACATGCGCTACACTTACTGTACATATGTTCTTAGAAGTTGTGGAGCCCGGAAACACGAAATTAATCAATTGAAAGTAAGTGACTCGCAAATGTTGACAATCATTATTAGGTCAATGTAGAGCAAAAACGGAAGAGATTGCAATTTGTAAGATGAGATGGCGACTGAACTTTATAACCAACTAAATTTATTATTTGTGACATTGGTCCTGATATTACCGTTGAGTAATTTTCGAAATATCACCTTTTCATAAGAATAATCGTATAAAAGAGAAATATATTTTCTATGAATTTTTGGAATGATCTGGGACTTTCACGATCTGGGACAACAAAGTTCTTTCATACATTATTATTATTCATATTATTATTATTATTATTATTATTATATTAATTATTATTATTATATTATTATGCAATTCTCTCTATTTATAAAACGCAAAGGCTCATGAGGTTTCGCAACATTTATAAGAAAAAAACCCGTCAAATGCTTTATTCTTTGAAATTATGTAGAACTCAGCATCATCGGAAACTTTTCTTCTCAGCGCTTTCTTTTGTTGTCATGAAACTCACGGTTCATTTATTATTTTACTATTATATATTATTATTATTATTATTATATTATTTGTTTGTTGTTTTGTTGTTAGTTCGCGTCTCCTTAATGAAAGTAGTGCACCCGCGCGGGGAGGCTAGTGGGGCTGCAGCCCTTATTCCAGAAATCGAAATTCAAATTCACAAATATAGTTTTTACTAAATTTCTTAAGTAACGAGTCATGCCATACCTCATTTCAATACGATACAAATAGTAATAAATCAAAAATGAAAAAAGCGTCAATTGTGAAAGAATTCGCGTTTTTTGGGAAAATTTAAATTATATCTCGGACGCGGAAAGTTTGAAATGTATCATATTTTCTTCTTTCATACCTCCAAAGAGTAGCGCCACTGAATATCTTCGAAGCGTGGCGCCAAATTTGAATTTATTTGCTCGCCTATATGCCAACACTCGTTCTATATAGTAATTTTGATTGAAAAATGTGGACCCACTTTTGAGAAAATGGCATTAATTGTTATTGTGAATGCAAAAACTGAAGCTCTCTTTCTCAGAAAATTCGTGAGTTTTCGTAAAACTTCATTAGAAGCCATTAAAAACAATCAAAAAATAAATAGTGCTTACAAATCGCTGGTAATGTTCACAATAAAGGCGTGAGAAATATTTTAAAAAAATACATTATTATATTTTTTTAAATATAAAGCCAAATGAACTTTATGTTATATTAAACAGTGTTATTAGCACGTTATTTAAATCACACATACTCATAAATACAATAATGTGAACAAATCGCCGCAAATGTGAATATTAACGGGAAAGGCAAGTCAATAATATATTATTGTAATTTTTTTAAGAGCAAAAGAATAGAGCAATATCGCGTTTATTTCATCTCATAGAGTACATTTAGCACTATCCATATCCAAGAAGAAAAATTTTGGAGCCTTTTTTAAAAAATATTGTTTTTATTATTTTTTTAAATTGCGAATATTGCACGCAATATTGCGAGAAAACTGCCTAAATGTTCAAAAAATGTACACGACTTTATAAAAGAACTAATTATGATCAACAAATTTCATTTAAGTACAAATCTTTATCTTTAATTTTGTAGCAGGTAGACGCCGAAAAAAGATAATCTTTTGAAATTTTCGAAAATTCGAGTTAACCGTCAAAATCGGACCTATGCCACTTCTTTAGTTGTTATTTAAGATCGCATTAACATCTAGGTCATAACCAGATCAGCACCAGGTCAGAAAAGCAAAGTGATATTGGCGGTATATTTGATTGAGAAAAAGTAAATGAACTAGAATATTTGGGAGAGTCGATAATATGGGAGTGGGGAATTAGACTTAAAGAAAGGACTTTTGGTAATTTGAAAGCTGAAGAAGGTAAACTTAGGTTGTATTATTGAATATTCTTAAAATAATTAAATGTTGCATTGTTCTTGTATTGTAATGTTGTATTAGTTCGCAAACAATTTTGTGGATTTTTTGTTATTATTATAACGAAAAAATTCTGTCTTTTATTTTGAATTTGAAAACGTTTTGATTTAATATTTCAGTAACTTCAAATTTATTCTATGATGTATGCCGTAGAATCTATGGTGTATACCAGTATATAGTATATACCGTAGAATCAACGGCCCTGAACAAATAATTCAATGGATATGTTTATATTTTCCTCCTTCAAGAGAATTTCTTAACAGAAAAGGAGAAAACATCTCTCTACTCCCATGGCGCCACTGAGCAACGCGTGCCGCGTGCGTTCGCAGGGGACCTGTGCCTGATGCAGGGCGGGCGCGCGGGGCTGTGCCGCAGCGTGGAGCTGTGCCCTGAGGCGCCGCAGATGGTGCGCGACGGGGTGCCGCCGGCCGTGTGCTCCTACAACAACTCCACCCCCATCGTGTGCTGCCCCAGCGCCCGCAAGGCCAACCGAAGTGAGTCCGAAATGCAATCATAGGCTTCCGCGTCCACACTCATCTGAAGGCTCTCGGCTGTCCCGGTGATGTCGACGTTTCGACCATCCTATCGTGGTCTTCTTGGACCGCTGGGCTGCTTTGGCACTCCAGCCCTGAAGAAGGATGGCCGAAACGTCGACATCAATGCCCTAGACGCGGCGTTCCTCTTAAGCAGAGAGCCTTCACAACCGACGTGAGTCATTTGCCGCCAACATCAGCACAAAGTACGACGCGAACGTACTCGAGGGATCGGAAACCCACATGCATAGCCTACCGATGAAGCCTTGAGGGACGCCAACAACACTGCTCGCTAATAACGAAGCATACTGGCACACAATACACGAAGACTCGATGCGAACTCTGTGTTAGATCTGAATAATTAAATATTGAGCGATCCCGTAATTAGGGCGGGCCACTGAAATGTAATTCTCAAATAAAAAATAGAAGGTGAAAAAGTTGTTTTGATAGGTTTTAATATAACTGACAAATTAATAAGATTGGTTTTGTTTGGTACGTTGTTCATTCAATATATCGGCTTATTGCCGTTTTCGATGAATTTTTAACTTGTTTAAAATATTTAATCATGCCTCAAGAACATTTTAGAGGAAGGGGAATAAATGTGTTTGGATATCGTTATACAATAAAGTGACCAAACTGCCTTCATTTTCGAAAATAACACAATCGTAATATATAGGAATTACTTCCATAGCCAAGGAAATTAAGACACTATAAACTACTCACAGACTTCTCAAATAATATTTCCTCTATAGTAGTTGAATGTTGGGAAATAGTAGACCATTTCCCACTCTAACTGTACACTCACGAATAACAATTTTTAACAAGATACAGAGCAGTTCTGATCAAACAAATATCTCTCGTAGACCTAAAATATATATGCCTTCATTTCAGGACTTGATAAACTATGTTATATCCACAATTGTAGGTGCGAAATTGTTCTATATGCTCTATTAGTTCATATAATATATAAATATAAATTGTATCACGTTATAATCACCCATAAAAGTTCTATGCTGCCGGAGCCATAATAAAGAATTAGGAATACCATAACTCATTAGTACATGATCACTCTCGCAATGGTGTAGATTAACTTCTATTTTTATTACATTGTATGTGAAATCCGAATTTATACACCACAATGTTAAATATAATCTCGTGCGAATTAGAGAAAAATACAATACATAACAATTATGACATTGTATACTACAATAAACTTAGGTTCATTGACAGAGTATTGATTTCAAGTTTTTTTAATAACACATTTTTTCGTCTACAATATTTAAAAATAATTTCTATAAAAATATAAAGAGTTTCTATAAAAATCAATTTCATGTGTGCGGAAGTTAATTTTTACAATAACATACTCAAATTTTAATCATACATAAGAGTCAATTTCAAACATATTTTAGGCGCACCGTAGGCTATCAAATCAGCTTAAATATTTAACTTGTTGTTTTGAAACGAATACCATTGGTTACCCAATATGTTTTCTGTCACTTGCAGTGTGTTCGGTGTACAGCAGCGCAGTGTTTCGCTACGAAAAAGATCGCAGAAACCCAGCGCTGGTGAGAAAGTGTGATCAGTGTGTGATGAAGAAAGTGCCCTTCATCATAGGGGGCTCAAATGCCAGCGTTCACGAGTTTCCTCACATGGTGAGTGTAGCATTTAAACACCTGCGAACTGACAATTTTGCTCCAGAGGGTGGGGGAGCAAATAGACGAATTATTGAGTGAAAGAAGACCATCTTCGCTTTCACATCACAGTCTGAATAAGTTCTAAGAATGTTCTTAGGGTAGTTTTCTTTCCCCAATTCTCTTGATTGAAACTTATTGCTTCGGACATTTCAACGTGTGGATGCCATAAACACTATTTTTAGGTGGCTCAATCAATTGCTCAATCAATTTAGAGAATCAATTGCTGTCACTGTAGTGCCTCTGACCAGGACGTCCTGTATGTATGTATGTATGTATGTACTTGGCGCGACAGCCCGTGAAAGGGCTCAGGCCTTCTGTACAGGACTGGCGGTATGAGTATGACTATTTTGCATTAGTTTATTAACTCGAGATGTCAGAAAGGTTGTCTGAGTGGAAAATAGGAAGCTGCTTGTAGAGAAGAGTATGATGTATCAGATTGAGATTAATAGAGAATTCCTTGAAGAAATTTATGTTTCTATGTGTTCAGAAAACATGAGTATATTAACTCTTGATAACACATGTATTTTTTTCCTTTTCTTTTGTAAAAGTTAAACGTGTGAACTAAACGCCCCCCCCCCCGCCTTTCGGAATAGAAGCGGAATAGAATCGTGAGCTCTCGTATTGCTAGGGGTAATGATTTGTTGTTGTTTGTGTTATTATATTATTATTATATTATTATTATTATTATTATTATTATTATTATTACTATCTGACATTTCGCAGGCGCTCTTGGGCTACGGAAACAAAGTACAGTAATCGCCGCTGAACTGCGGAGGTTCTCTCATAAGCGACCGATTTGTCCTGACCGCGGCCCATTGCATTATTACATCAGGGTGAGTATACGAGTGTACGGGATATTCCGAGCGAGAGACTAACTTGCATAAAACAATAGAAATGATTAGTTTTATTTATTTACGATATTCGCATATATTTAGATATTATTATAATATTTTTTTTATTTTAAGAAGTAAAATTATATATTTGTTGGCCTGTTAAAATTAAAGATAATCAATAAAATTGACAATTAAATGTTAACATATAATAGACATAATGTGTGTGTGTGTGTGTTATGTATATAATGTCAGGGTTCATCATCCAAGCAGTGTATAATTATGAATAAGAGAAATGAAAGTATTGCCAACTAATTCACAAAAAATGGATGGTGGATAGGTGTTTTGTGGGGGCTGGGGGCATTAATTTTAACAGGCCATAAATATATACTTTTACTTCCTAAAATAAAAAAATAAAAAAATAATTATTTAATTTTAAATAATTAATATAATAACAGGAAGTACGCCATTTTTCTCTTAAACTTGATAAATAATAATAATTAATAATTTTAATAATAACAATAATAATAATAATAATAATAATAATAATAATAATAATAATAATAGATTTGGTCAATACGTCTAGTTTTGATACATTTGCGTCAGTTTTCCGCAGAATGTTGTTGTCAGGTTATATAGCTAATTTAACATGAACTGGACCGGAAACACATGGTGGCTGGGCATAGAGTGACTGTAGCGCGTGGTTCATTCAATTCAACCAGTTCTCATTCATTTTCGCTTCGGGCCGTTGCCCGATTCAGACTTGTCGCGCGATGCACCCACGTGCTTTAACAACTCCATGTGAAATTGGGTGTGATGGCTGGAAATGAGGCTTGACCTTAATGAGTATTAGTAAGGTGTGTACCTTCTATATTTTGGTGTTTTATTTGTCTTAGTTTACAAATGATTTTTTGTTGTTTGTGTAGTGTTCATGAATTAATAAATCAATTTATTTAAATTCATTTGTTGTCCTCGTGCATTGCTCATTTGTCTTTATGCACTAGCCCTGATGAAGAAATTAAATGTTTCGAATAGTTGGCATAACTAATTGTTTCTATACCTATACAGATCAATGTCGTGAACCAATTTTATTATTATGATAATGATAATGATAACCATAATGATACTGATAATGATACTGATAATGATACTGATAATGATACTGATAATGATACTGATGATACTGATAATGATGATGACGATGACGACGACGATGACGACGGCAATGACAATGGCCATGACAATGGCGATGGCAATGGCGATGGTAATGACAATGACAATGACAATGACAATGACAATGGCAATGACAATGGCAATGACAATGGCAATGACAATGACAATGGCAATGACAATGGCAATGACAATGGCAATTGCAATGACACTGGCACTGACAATGGCAATGATAATGGCAATGACAATGGCAATGGCAATTGCAATGACACTGGCAATGGCAATGACAATGGCAATGGCAATGGCAATGGCAATGGCAATGGCAATGGCAATGGCAATGGCAATGGCGTGTTGCGCAGAGGCGCGCCGAAGTGGGTGCGTCTGGGCGAGCTGGATCTGACGACGGCCGAGGAGAGCCAGCACGAGGACTTCGGCGTGGCGGAATCCATCCCGCACCCGGACTACAAGGACGGCATCCACTACAACGACATCGCCCTGCTCCGGCTCGACCGCAAGGTCATCTTCACGGCCGCCATCCGGCCCGCCTGCATCCACACGCTGCCCGAGATCGCCGACCCCTTGGGCATCGCCAGCGGTTGGGGGTTGATCCACTGGGGTAAGTGCGCAGTAAAGAAATAGACATTTCCTTTTAACACTCTCAGAAACAATTCAGGTATTTTTTTTCATTTAATGTCTCCCAAATTCGGTGTACCCCATGCCCTGTAGGCTATTTTCCCCTCCTCGATATCCTAGTGAATTTAAGTTGATTACTAAGATGATTGCACACTTTTGATTTTGTAATACGATGCACAAAAGACATTTTCTATTGGTTCTGTCAGAAAAACTTTTGGTATTATTTAATGTCTACCAAATTCTGCAATCCCAGTGAAAACCTAGCTAAACACTACGAGGACTCATTTGTAATGATGCACCTTTCTGGAGAAAATCTTGTTTGACTCATGTATACCGAGGGGAATGAAAGGAAGAAATACGTTTACTCCTAGAAAGCGTAAGCTACATGTGCTACAAGTATGAAGCAATTGAAAAGACACCTGTTCCTATTTTTCAAATTGTGCTTGAAGTACCCATTATTGGTCCTGCTACCTAAATGCGGCTTTCTTTGCCCTCCCTCAAACGTCTCAGCTGTTGTTAACGCAAATTACCTAAACCAAAACTATCATTACATCCGTTGACTGCAATATTCTTCATTTTCAGCGGATCCAGATAATAGCGAATTCCTTATGAAACTTAACCTGCATCTTTACAAGACGGACATTTGTAGTTACGCCTACAAAACTGCGGCAACGACATTCCGGCTGAGGAACGGCATCGTAGAAGAGTCGATGGTGTGTGCTGGATCGCCGGAAGGAGGCAAAGACACGTGCAGGGTGAGATAATGTTGAAGCACACGTATATTTTCTATCTTACATTATAAAAATGTCTGTAAAATGTAACACATACATAACACTAGTAAAAACCAGTTTGGGCATTGGTTCTTCCTATGTGTTTGGGGTTCCTTTTTCTTCAAAATTAAGGAAGTTAAGTAGTATAATTGTTCTCGTTTGTTTTTGCAGCCAGGGCATTTTTAAGGGTTTTTTTCCGTGATTTCGTTTTCCAATGATCACAAGATATCTGTACACACTAAAAGATTCAAGAGAATCCCGCTATATTTGAAAACACAGAATCATTGGAGAACAAAATATTTTTGGAAAAGAATTTTTTTTTTTAGTACTTTTTCCGCACACAAAAATCGGGAGTCTTAAAGATGTGTAGATGTGTGCCAAATACATTTTACTTCTCAACTAGTAATATATTCTAAACGCTAACGTATCATACATGTGGACCCTATCACACCCTTCTGCTTAATGAATTTAACAACTTTATAAAAGAACTTTACTCGCATAAGCGGTGGAATTTTGACCTCGATGCCTATGCATAAGATCTTAAGGTATCTGAGAGACTCTGGCACCCGAAACGAACCAGCTTTTCTTGCGCATTTCTTGGTTCTGGTCGGTAGCGAAGAGCCAGTCAGCGGATTCCATTGTTAACATAAAACATCCTTGAGTCCAGCCAATGCATTTTACCCCCTAATACTGATACTGCTTCTATTGTCTCCGTTGCCTCGCGTTACTACTACTGAAGTAGTTCCGTTTTACAAAATACGGCCATTCTGCAAGTGTTCCATTTATCCATAAGCTTTATCTCTTAAGCCTGTTTTACATGGTCATTTTTGCATCCTTTTTTCATAATTTTTTCTGTACAGAAAGTGGATGGAAAAAGGGCGTTCGTTTCTACGTAGTATGTTTCGGAGTCGAAACTGGATGAGAGTGATTCCAACGTTTTACACGGTCATTTCTGTCTTTGTACGTAATCATGAAGAAAATACTTCCTCCAGACGCCGCATATAGCGCTGAAGTTCAAACATTTGAACATCGCATCTGTGGTAACAAATTAAGTTAGGTTATATTAGTACCGAGTACGAATGCGACTTTATTATAATACAGTTCTCTTCATAATACATACTCTTCACATTACAATTCAACACATCAGAACGCTCTCACGCAACTATCAAATAAACATATCGCTCTACACGCATAACAAACCAGAGAAAGCCCCGTAAAGTGCCGCTAGGAGCGTGGTAGTCAAACTGGATGAAATCTGTACCGAAAAATCAAGCATGCTTTCGTACAAATTACATACAGTCTGGTCTGTATCTTTTCTGTATCGGCGAAAAATGATGAAAAAATGATCGTGTAAAACAGGCTTTAGATACGAAATACTCGCGTCCCGCAAAGTAGTACTCAGCCGTAAACCTACCGCAAACTGTATCTTTCCAATCAATATACACTAAATGTAATTTGTATTTACCATTGCCTTTGTGCCTAGAAATATGTTCTATAAAAATATGCCAATTCTATTTATTTTTCCCTGTATGTTTCTTCTACTGTAAGACAGTGCCTACCTTACCTCCTCTCTCGCTACTCTACGGACCGTCAGTCTCCTTAAATGATGTATAAATATTCCTTAGATGTGGCACATCTCGTTTCTTGTTTTTTTAATTATTTATCATCATAAAAATCAGTTAATATTGAACGTGACGTGTAGGAGAAAAGTTGTCGTCTATCCGTGCATGCCGTAGGTTTACGATACTAAGTTGAATTAATGATAAAGGTAAGTACGAATGTTTTTTGCAAAATTTCATAACAAGTATTCGTTCCCGTTTAATAGAGAAGATTGAAAAACGAGGCAAATTTTCTGCAGATCGAGATTTTTATCGAGAAGTAGATTTTCTACCGCGAGGACATGGAGGACACTAAATTGTACTGCTAACGAAATACGTAAATTCCCCACGTATGCACGTGTTTTCGCAAAAACAGGCGGAGAAACGAAAGCTACATTTATGTTCATAAATAAAACCAGATCCCTAGCATTTTCTTAAAAGATTAAGAAAACTGGACGAAAGCTTGATCGAGATGGGAGAATCATTGACTCAGAAGCTGAAGTACAACACTTGATTCATACACATTTAGTACTTTTTTAAATTAAACAATATAAATGGTAATTAATGCATTCACGGAGTTAATAAAATAAAGATTTTGATTATTCAGTTTAGCCTCTAACTAAATACAAACTGACGTGAATCAGATAAGATTTCACTTTGTATTTTAACGTGTGTATCAAATTTAATTGTTTAATATCTGTCAATGTGTTACACTAAATTAGTAACGCATGTGTATGATATGTGCAGTTTCATAGCGAGCTGTTGATTCTGCAACCTGATGAAACGAAATTGCTTGCAGGGCGACTCGGGCGGGCCGCTGCAGGTGAAGCTGAGCAACCCGTACTGCATGTACAGCGTGATCGGCATCACGTCCTTCGGCAAGGGCGCCTGTGGGACCACTCTGTCCCCGTCCGTGTACACGCGCGTGTCGTATTTCGTGCCGTGGCTGGAGGACATCGTGTGGCCAGATGACGTCACCCCGGAGGTTAGACGCCAGTTCTAGGATTATTAGTGGTTCGTACCAGGCTGCAGTTGGTGTCAAGACTCTAGTTGCTAGCTGGTTCCTGTGGAAGAACCAGGGAACTCTACTGAGAGATCTCGGAATAACATTACAAACTTTTGAGGGAAACTTTGTAGATGGGTCAAAAATGATCACGTACTGCCAATGAATATATGGCGGGAAATTTCTCGTGATGGAGTTACACTGTCAATTGCTCCTGAGTGTTGGGCAGTTCTACATGTGCGTATGTTTGGCAGGCTCATGAAATCGCCTTGAAAGCGTCAGAATGAGACCTGCCGAACATGCATGCATAAGACGTTGCTTAGCAACCAAGAATAAATGGCCCATGTGTAACACCGTTTAAAGAAATGCATACTACAAGATAATATGCAAAATATTTATGCACCAAGGGCGTAAAAGGGGTTCTAACGATAGAGCGGCGACAAAAATCTTCGGGCCAAAGGTCCTCGGACTTTTTGTTGCCCGAGATCATTAGAACTAGTTAACGTCTGTGTTATATATAAGATTTTATTTTTTACTTAAATTTGAATGATTCAGATTTTATTTATTAATTAACTAGATCTTAACTTGACTCGGTTTGTCTTTTCATATTTCCCTCCTATAATTCCCTTCATCAGAGAACATGTAGCCTTATTGCTATTCTTTGATCGCTTCATTCATCCATTTAATCACTCTTGTTCTTCAACGAATCATCTCCCGCATCTATTAATCATGTCTTCGGAAAAAACTGCTTATAAAGTACGGCGACAGGTTGTTGCACTACGAGATTTGTCAGTTCTGGCGCCTTCTGCAGGCAAGAAGCAATCATACTTAATTCACAGGTCCTTAATCCCTGTGGAAAGCAGCTGGAGAGCTTATACGTTCTTGCCATCGAAAACACATCATTTCGTTTCCTTGGATGACGAAGCTACTACGTAGTTTTCTCCGTCAATCCCTCATTGCATTTCCAACCAATCATTTTACACATCTGTTAGATCTTACTATCTCTGAGCGACTCAGCACCAAAGTATAGGGACAAATCAATTGTTAATGAACAGATGTACTCAATATACCGAAAAATATTGGGAGAAAGCCCCTCTCCCGTCTGCTCTGATGATGACCCCCTTCCCATGTTATTATAGAGTTGTACGGCGACATATTTACTCCATCCCTTGTGCAACTATTCCCAAGACATCAGAATATGTACGAAAGCAACACGAGCTAATATCAATCATCAAGACTTTCAAATATCTGCTACAGAACTATCCAACCATCCATACCTCCTTGGACAATACTGAAAATATTGTCTGTCATCTCGAAATAATCAACAGCCTAAACGATAGAGAAGTAAATGTTGAGAAATTCATAGTTTGGATATGTTTTCTGTAAAAAAGAGGGGAATGGATAAGCTTAGTTTTCGATAAGCTTATTTCTGAAAATCGTACAGAGATTTTTATTGCTTGTTTTTACATCCAGAAATTTAGATACCTATCTACACAGTTACAACTTTTACATTGTATGCATTGTCAATGTATACAAAGTGATGTTTTACTTTCGACACAATGATAAAGAGTAAACTTGTATTATTACAATACCATATATGGTATTGTATTTTCCATATATCATTATTTATTTATATGTAACTAATATGTAATAAAGATGAGATTACTAATGGCTCCCATGTTTTAATTCCACTACACTGTCAGAGGTAATTATGCCATTTTTCACATCCGCTTCATATCATACCAGATGATGGTTTGCGAAGTTACATTTCTCTTCAATAATGTGTATGTTTTGTTCCAGTTCAATCGCTCAACCCAAGTGAATTTTTCCTTGCTCTTGGATACAGTAAATAGAGTTTTTGCATCTCGAAGCGATACAGCAATCAATAGCACTAGCGATCTTCTGCGCACGCGCAGATGCACAAAAGTTATGAGAAACTCAAATTGCGCATGCGCAAAATATCGATAGTGCGTTCGATTGCTGTAACGCTTCCAGGTCCAAAAATTCTCTAATTACTTTCTGGATTATAAGATGGCACAGTTTCGATTTTCATCTGTATGAATTTTCGAAAATAATTTTGCATATGTTTAAATTTTTTTGTCATACTAGTTCACAAAATCTACCTATGCTACATTTATATCACAGCGGTAAGTCCGTCTTTGCCTCTCTAGGGAGGAAAGCACGAACAGTGTTCTTTTTTTATTTTTACTTTATTTTAATTTGTTGCGTCTACAGAGATGCAACGCTCCTTGGAGGCGTTGGGCGCTTTTTCGCTAGGAGTAATTAATCCTCCATTAATTGCGCGGGAGTAATCCTCCATTAAGTTCGTCGTCTCGTCTCGTCGTCAGTTAGTTGTAAGGAGGACCGCTAGTTAGCATCTCCGCATACGCGCTGCTAACAGTCCTACAGAAAACACGTTTATTACGAACTAAGACTGAGCAATCAAAAATAATTAATGCATAATAGACATACTTATATTTAATACCTGTTAAATACAGTCCTACAAATAAGAAAATTAACATGAACAAATTTATTCGTAAAATATACCTAAACACGAATAATTAATATTAAAGTTGTGGCAAGTATTAATTTGTTGCAAGTATTAATTTGAACTTCAATTGATGGAATGTCAGTTAGGTTCTTGGCAATATTTAATGCTTTGTCTTTGACAATATTCACCGTCGTCACCCTTGAATGAACTAAATATATTTGTTGTTTAAAATAAAATAAATAGCCTGCTTGTTGGAAGCTGACTGATGAGGCAGTGGACTTGAAATGGCTCGGATGAGAAAGCTGCCACCTCTTTCCAACTTACCTTGGCAGCTTTGTCATCATCTCGAAGGACCACCACTTAATGCGTCGCGGACGCACTCCCTGTAAATGTTAGTATCTACAGAGAATGTCTCTATTACTTTGGGAGAATTCAGTAGGCATTTAATAATTGAAGAGAAAAATATGTAATTAGAAGTTAAATACACTGATTACAATTATGATTACATCTAATTTGAGAGCATTTAAATCATTGCAATATCTATAGTCATGATCAGTTGAAAACTGATTCAATTGGTTACAATTAACATTGAAAGATTGCAATGGCTGCTAACATACACAGTATACTGGTTTGGTTGCAGTTGACATTAAAGGATAGAATACCCGTAGACATTTATAGTTGAAGATTGTGTTGGTTGCAGTTAGCACTTAACGTGAGTTCAGATATTCAACAGAGCAAAGTACTCTAGTGCTGAAATGAAAAACAGTGGGATGAATTCAAACTGAATCATGATAATACAACGTAGACTTGAAGATGGCACGCGTACGCAGGCGCGTGTTGTGGACCGTCTGCAGAGGGGATGGGGCGACGGTTGGAAAGCCCTGGTGGCAACTAGAAGCCTAGGAATGCCGTGAATCATAACTGGCAAGAGCAGGAACTTGCATGAATGCCGCGGAAGCGGACACCGTTGCACAACCACCATGAGATTGATTCTGCTTATGATATGATCACGTGCAGCACATGTTCAGAGAACAGTTTATGCTAGGAGCATGCACTTACGTGAGCGGTCAGCATGATGTGCGTTACGATGCATTGTGATATAAAGAGGTTATCATGACCACCTTAACTGGATTGTTGTGGAGCTGTGGAGGAATGTGCGATTGCATGTCTAGAAGTGACATATACATGTGGCTGCTTCTCTATAACGCGATCACTTCCGTGGTTATGATTAAGCACGAACACGCGTCACGCATGTTACAGTACATTGTTATACAGAAAATTCATCGTTGCCACATATTTGACTGGTTTGTAGTGAATTTTGAAGAGAAACGCACAATGCGTGTTTGAGAGCGGCCCAGAGCTTGTCCGTACAGGCAGACAGCCAGTGGACAGCCAGGGAGCAACTGATTTTTAGCGTTCAGCGCGGACGGGCAGTACGACAGTCGTTTGGTTGGAAGCGAGGGGAGCCGTCTTTCCCACTCTCTTGCGGCTGGCGAGCAGGTGGATGTTTTCAGTGTCTCGATAGAGTTGAGCTGCCCGGGAGATGGCGACACTCAGTGGCTGACGAGAGAGTTAATGCAAACACATAAAATATAAATGGTACTGAAACTCAAGCTGAGTGTGCAAAACTAAGATGCTGATTATACAGCGAGTTCTAACACTGCTAATGTCCAAGTCCAGTTCAACTTACAGCATGCATTTTACAATGGAATAAATCAACCAAAGCATCGAAGCCTGCACAGATTTTGACTTCGATGAGAAGCAACCAAAACATCATCTTCGAAAATTTCGACCATATCTCTGCACCATTTCTTAAACAAATCGTATTCCATATTGTGTCTTTCTAGGACTTGCTAAGAACTAATTCCTCCACCGCTTTTCCTGGCACTTTCAGAATGCCTGAAGGAATTTCCATAATTTCTCTCGATATGATTGCGACCCTCCGGCTAATGCCCTCGTGTCGCAATATTCAATCCTCAAGAAAAAGACTATATTTCTGTCCTTTTGACGTAAATTACTATTTCGTCGAACCGGGAGATGTGGCTCAGGATATCAGCTGCTGTCATTCAAGTGCTTCTAACCAGGAGGTCCTAGGGGGCCGAGTCCCGACAGTGACGACAGTGACAGTTTCGAGTCCCGACAGTGACAGGATTTTCGACCCTAGCTAGATAGCTAATATACAATTCAATTGCTGCCTGAAACAAAATTCTAGCGGCCGACTATTCTTATCTGTAGTTTTCCGTGTTTTTTCTGATCAATGCCAGGCGAATGCCGGAGCAGTACCCTAACAAACGGGCCACGAATGACGTGTGATCTTTCCTTCCTCGTCCTACTTACATCATGCATTACACTACCACACATGCCAGGCGACCGGTCGGAAGCTTAGAGCTTCGCCCGGCTGGGACGGGTGATGGGAGGTATCTGGTTGGGGAAAACCCCGCTAGCCGACAGATAGGTCGGCGATCTCATCAACCAGTGCAGATCATCGCCACCTCCCGAGGAAAACGTATGCACTACACTTATGGCACTAATGACATTAACCGTTGACGTACCCGAAATCACTAATCAGTCAAGTATTTAGTCGTTCTATTACTACATGATTGAAAATACTGTACTTTCCTTAATAAAACCTGCCCTTTAACATTAGCTGTTGAAAGAATGCAATACCCAAGAATAACTTCTAGGAGATACAAGCAACATTGTTTAATTTTAAATATAATAGTCACAATTGAAAAAACACTCAGACAAGTTATTCTCAAAGTAGCTTTTTTATGCTCGAATACAGTAAAGTTAATTGATCAATGTGCTTAATAATGCGATGAAAGATACAATTTTCATTAAAAACCTGTCAATTGTAGTCAACCACAAACAAGGACTAAATAGAAATCATTGATCAATGTTCTCTTTTTTTCTCATTCAGATTCTTTGTACAAAAACTTTTACATTAAACGGATGAATTTTTTAAAACGTAGATTTTATATCAATTCTGATCAACATACTTTTACATTCTCGCCTTACTACGTTCTTACGTAGTAAAGAGAAACTATTGTAATATTGCAGCATTAATTGGCGATTATTCGACAAAAATCTCGCATTCTGGGTCAGTTATCGAAAAATTTGATAAATATTGTGCATAATGTCATTCCCACATTTTTTCTATAAACAGTGAAAGTCGTCGTGGTTGCCGGACAGCTCAGGGAGGTCGGGGGATACCTATTAAGGTACCGTGATGGAAGTGCAAAAATAGCAAAGATAACACAAACACATTGATTAACAAAAACATGAATTTAATGATCTTAAAAAATTTAGGATTATTTCTCGAGAACTTTTTTATCAGGACTATCGTCTTCTATATTATTTCAGTAGTATACCTACCTTTGCGGCGCTTACACGCAACCGATCTTTATAAATGAGATTTCTAAAGAAAGAGAATTTCACAGAGATGTGACGAATTGCACTTTGACCTTAAAATGTGAAGTATTTGTTTAAAACACGCATCAAAATATCCATGTAAATGGATATTTACCCGTAGCACCCAGTCAGTTATATCGTTAAATGCTGTAACTCCTAAACGAAGCTCTCTAGGCCCTAAAAACTAAAACTTTGAAGCGCAAGGCCGCAAAGAAACGTTTCTCATATTATAATCTACAGGATGAGATATTCTTCGAAAATCAATTGAATTTTTTCTGGTTCGGTACTTATCAATGCTATCAATGCCACGTACATTAAATTTAGGTAATTTGATACGTACACTCCTTCGCGACGTCACATTTAGAAGACTTAGATTCCTCTATCTTATAATATTCGCGCTTTCTGTGTATACCATGGTTTGCACAGACTGACGAGATTTATTTGCATAATTATTAATTCAAGATTCGTTCTCGCAGCAATACTAGAAGTACTATTAATAGTTGCTTGATACCGATGA